GTGCCCCCGTACAGGTATACCCCACCGGCCCAGTCATAGGCTCCCACCGCTCCCAGCACAGGTCCGTCCTAAACCGACACGCACGGCAAAGGGAATGGATTGCACAAATCAGACAGCCCAGCAAAATATAGCAAGGGAGAAATAATTAACAGACTGAGCCACCATTCAGCACAGCCTCCTCCCCCGACCCCAAGCTGCATTTGGCCAGCACTGACTGCAAAGGGGGAACACCTATTACTGCTGTGGACTACTAAGGGGTGGTCTCTCCCGTCCAGGAATTAAACCAGTGAGACTATCCAGGAAAATCCATCAGGGTCCCAGCGCACGGCAGTGTGGGACATGCCCTGGGGCCAGGCATCACTCACAGGGGACAGCAGGGAGCTGAATCCATCCTGAGACATCTCCAGCTGGAAGGAGCTGCCGCTCTGGGACTGGGTGCCTGGGGGGAGAGACAGACAGACAGACAGACATGGGAGAGATCATCCCTAGGAAGGTCTTGTGTCCCATCCCCACCCCCATGAGGCAACCCAACGCTCCCGAGAGGGGAAGGTCCCATGTCCCGTTCCCTGCTGAGCCAGTCAGCCCCACTGATTAATTTGGCCCCCTGAGCAGTACATTACAGGAGCAGCCAGAGTTGCTAGCACTTCACCCTGGAGCTCAGATACTCTGGTGACGGGCACAGAATGGACTCCTTACAGGGATAGCTCCTGGGTCCCTTTGCGATACAGGATCCCAGCAGCTCCCTGGCCCATCGCTACCCCAGGAACCTGTTTACACAGCCCCAGGGCAAGTGAAGTGCTTCTTCCTGGTCCAGTACCTTCAATGGCAAAAATCTTCTCCTGCAGCTGGTTCTGGATGCCCCGGAGGGCATCGAAGTCATTCACCCGGAAGACGTGCTCATCGGTAGGATCAGAGGCGATCTCATGGAGCTCTCGCTGGGCACTATGCAGGGAGAAGGCCCGGCCAACCTTCATGAGGCAAAGGTGCAGGAGAGACCAGGGACAGAAACAGAAGAACATAAGCAAGGCCAGACTAATGTTCCATCTAGCTCCGTATCCCGTCTTCTAACAGTGGCCATTGCCAGATGCTTCAGAGGGAATCAGAAGTGATCCATCCCACTGTACCATCCGATCATCTGGCAGTCAGAGGCTTAGGGACACCCAGAGCATGGGGTAGCATCCCTGACCTTCTTGGCTAACAGCCTTTGAGGACCTATCCTCCATGAATTTATCTAATTCTTTTTTGAACCCTGTTATACTTTTGGCCTTCACAACATCCCCTGGCAACAAGTTCCACAAGTTGACTGTGTGTTGTGTGAAGAAATACTTCCTTTTGTTTGTTTTAAACCTGCTGCCTGTTAATTTCATCAGGTGACCCCTTTGTGGATTCCAGGTCTAGCTACTCCAATAAGTCATTTATGGTGTCTACAAACTTTATCTCTGCATCCTGTGATAATCCTGCATCCTGTGGGTCATAATGGGAGCCAGTTGTGGAGGTGGAATTGTGGAGGGTGTTTTTAGGACCTCAGCCCACTGCCATCTTCAGCAGACTGTCTGTCCACAATAGATAGGCCTGACCTAGAGGATATGAACCCTGCACTCCTGTCCAACTATAAGTGATGTCTGCATGGCTGAATATAGCACTCAAGGGGCAAATGAACATAGAAACATGTGTGGATGGCAGAATACGTGGATTCCTAGAAGTTATAGTTAAATAAAAATGTAAGCTAAAGAGGGAGAAGTTGTAATGATTAGTGCAGACCACCTCCAGCAATAGATGGTGCTATATCTTTATCTTAGTGTTAATTTGTTGTCTTGTATGCTATTATGTTATTGAATCTGACCTGGGCAGGTTAGCAGGAAGTTCAGTCCTGCCTGTGTGTGCTGGATTTGGTACTTGCAGTGTCCCAACAAGTCTCTGTAATTCTGTAGGTGAGCATTATGATAGATAGATCTCACCCCGATGGCATAGCGGATGATACCCTCTCTCTCTGCCTCTGGAATCACGTCTGAGTATTGAATGTTGTCATTTTTCCTACCGTCTGTTACCACTATGAGAATCTTGGTAGCTGCATCCCGGGATCCTTTCCATGAGACGAACAGCTCCCTCCTGGAAACGAGGCACAGGCAGGGGGGTTAGTTCTTTCAGCCTCCATGTCTGTGGGTTGGGAGGGGAAGCACTTGTAGGGGAAGAGGAGGTACCTACACCACTTTCCGGATGGCAGTGGGTGTGTAGGTATTTTGTCTGAGCTGTCTAACTTGACGGACGAGTGAATCTATGTCGTGGGTGCTCTTGAACTTGTTGAAGTCAAAGTGCTCCTGGAAACTGCTGGAGAACTGTGCGAGGGCAAACTGGGAGATAAAAGGGGGAACAGAGCAGGGTGGAGTAAGAGTGGGTCAGAATAGCAGAGATGCTGGGGCATTGGGGTCAACACAACTGTGAGGGGAAAGGACCCTGTATGAGCCCCCCACCCGCTCCCTGCAGCTCAGCACCCTCTGACGCTGCCCTGCCTGCCAGGGGCAAGGGATGCTGGCAGCTCAAGGGTCTGGAATCAGCGGCTGCCAGTTACCAGCGTGTCGGTGCCACGGAAATGCCTTATGACCTCGATGACAAACGTCTTCATTGTTCCAAAGTCATGGTCACCAATGCTGCCTGAGCCGTCGATAAGGAACACGATGTCTGTGGGGCGTTTGGGACACTCTGGGGAATGGGGAGGGTGGGGTTACACAGAGAAATTCAGCTAGACGGGCCAAGAGACACCAAATGGCAGTGAAACTGCCAAGACATCTGCCCATCTAGCCTGGTATCCCACCCCCTCCCCGCCACCCTAGAACAGGCCCATGGACCCATCTAGCCGGGTCCTGTCCCTGCTGCCCCAGATCAGACCAAGGGCCCATCTAGTCTCCTTCCTCCTCCTCCCCCCCTGCTGGCCCATATGCCCCCCCACGTGTCCCCTGGGTGCTGGTTCCTCACCCCATGGGGCTGCCCCTCACCTGGCAGACTGTCTGGGATGCGCCGGAGCTGCCGGAGGCTCTGGTCCAGGAGGAAGCAGTAGCCTTTGATGTACATGTTCTCCCCGCAGGCCTGGTGCACCGTGGGGCCGCACACCTGGGCACAAGAGAGGGACAGGGTCACTGGGCTCTCCTGAGTAGAGCCCCAGTGCGGGAGAGCCAGGGCCTGCTCCCCCGTGGACATGCAAAGAAAGTTCCTGGCAGGGCAGGGAACTCCCATAGGGCAGATGGGACTCCAAGACCCAACACTCGTTTCCCAGAGGGGACAGGGGAATCACCTAGTTACCACACTCCCTGCTATGGCAGTGCACAGTCAAGGTCGCCATGGCGAAGTCATCCAGTTGCCACATGCCCTGCTATGGCAGTGCACAATCGATGTCACCATGGCAACATCACCTAGTTACCTCCATCTCTTACATCATTATCGCACAGCCACTGTCTCCATGGCAATGTCAGCTGGTCACCATACTCACTGCTAAGTCAGTTCACAGTCACTGTTGCCTTGGCGACATCACCCAGCGACCACCTTTCCCCACCACAGCATTACGCAATGCTGCTAATTACGGGAGTTACCAAAAAAAACCCCAGAGTTACGCCACAATGACGTCACCCAGTCATGAACTCTGCCCAGGTGCCCCAGTCGCACTGACACGGCCCAGTTAGTACCAGCCATGAGGAATGGGATTTGGGGGGGCTGCCCCATGGCATTCCCAGGGACCGAGTGTCAGACCCCAGTTCCAGCACCCATTCCCCCCCCCATGTACGGTACCTACCAGGATCTGGGAGTCCCGGGCAGCCAGAGACAAACCAAGGGACATCTTCACAGCATCAGAGGGCCCTGAGCAGGGAAAGATGCACACCAGGGTGAGCAAATAAACCACACCCCCTGGATAGAACCCAGGAGTCCTAACTCTCAGCCCTACCCCCCATCACCACCCCACTCCAACCAACTAGATCTCACAGCGCTGGAGATAGAACCCAGGCGTCCTAGTTCCCAGACCCCCTTGCTCTAACCCACTGCACCCCACAGCACAGGGTGCCCCTACTCTGGATGGGGATCTCCTCGCAGCGTCTGGAGCCCGGGTCGCACTTGTAGACTTTGCCGGTTTCATTCACGTCTCCCGTCTGCAGCGGGGCCCCGACGAGCAGCCTGCAGGGAGAGAGCAGAGGGGGGCTCAGGGGATGCCCCATCACACCCTGGGGAGTGGGGGCCAGCAGGAGCAGCCCAGACAGATGGGCCTCTCAGGGATGAGTGTGAGGCACGTAACTGTAGGGCCCTGAGCCCAGGTTTGGCCCTTACCCCGCAGCGCTGGCACTCCCGAACTGCACCACGCTCTGCCCGAATCCCGCTGCAGCCTCCTGGAAGGTGATGGGTCCCTCCACGTCCACGCTGAATCCATGGCTCGGTGCCAGCACTGCAGGGGTTAAACAACCATCCATTAGAGCCAGGGGTGGGCAAACTTTTTGGCCTGAGGGCCACATCGGGGAATAGAAATTGTATGGCGGGCCATGAATGCTCACAAAATTGGGATTGGGGTGTGGGCTCTGGGATGGGGCTGGGGATGAGGAGTTCGGGGTGTCGGAGGGTTCTCCGGGCTGGGATCGAGGGGTTTGGAGAGCGGGAGGGGATCAGGGCTGGGGCAGGGGGTTGGGGTGTGGAGAGAGGCTCAAGGGTGCAGGCTCCGAGCGGCGCTTACCTCAAGCGGCTCCCGGAAGCAGTAGCATGTCCCTTCTCTGGCTTCTATGCGTGAAGCGGCTCCTGACCCTGCACCCCAGCTGGAGCGGGGCCGAGCCGTGTGGTGCAGCCCCCGCACCCAGTGCCCCGGCTGGAGCGCCGAAGCAGGGAAAGCCCCAGATCCCACTCCCCAGCGGGAGCTTGTGGGCCAGCTTAAAATGGCTCGTGGGCCAGATCCGGCCCACGGGCCATAGTTTGCCCACCCCTGCATTAGAACTTCCCCTCTTCAGAGTGGGGCCAGGGGTGGGGGCTCAGGGACCAGCCCCTCCCGTTTCTAGGACTGACTCCAAGGCCCCCTGCTTTAAGCCACTAGACCCCACTCCCCTCCCAAAGCTGGGTATAGAACCCAGGAGTCCTCCTCCCTCCCCTCCCAGAGCAACTCATTTAAACTTCCATTATGTCTAGCCCTTGAAGGCCATTTCTTTCAAATCATTCCATGCAAATCAGCCTTCATAGATTTACGGACTGTACCGCCAACCGGAACCACTGTGATCGTCTAGCCTGACTTCCTGTGTAACACGAGCCAGCGAACTTCCCTGAACTGAACCAGACCAGAACATTTAGAGAAACATCCAGTGGTGGAGAAGCCACCACAACCCTTGGTAAATTGTTCTGGGGGTTAATTCCTGTCACTGTTAAAAATGTTGCACCTTATTTCCAGTCTGAATTTGTCTAGCTTCAACTTCCAGCCATGGGAGCACATTAGACCTTTCTCTGCTAGATTGAAGAGCCCAACATGAAATATTTGTTCCTTATCACTATCAGGCAGGTTTTCTAATCTTCTAATCATTCTCGTGCCTCTTCTCTGACCCCTCTCCAATGTATCAACATCCTTCATGAAGCGTGGGCACCAGAACTGGACACAGGATTCCAGCAGCACTCGCGCCACTGGCAAATACAGAGGGATTAGGCCCTCTTTACTCCTACTTGAGATTCTCCCATTCATGCATCTAAGGGTTGGCCGCAGCATTGCGCTGGGAGTTCCTTGGCCTAGGCATTTCTCAGTCTCTCTGCCAAGTCTATCAATGAGTGCAGGGTGGCCTGGTAAGCTTGTGCCATGGGAGCCAGAGCTGAGACCCACCAAACTCATGTCATACAAGAAAGACCCAACAGCCAATCGGTGGATCCCTAACGCACAGTGTAACCAACTTCCCTGACGAACAGCTCTCCTCCCTTCTGCCCACTCCATCCCTGCAAACCCAGGCCTGGGAAGGGTGGGAAGGAGAATCCCCTTGGAGCGGCCCCCACCAACCCTGTGATGTGGTAAAGACCT